AGAAGCCGCTTCTTTGTGAGGCCTAATTTCGGAGGGTTTTTATTTATTTATTTATTACCTCCCCCCACCACCCCGGAACTTTTATCTCTTCTATCTGCTACACGGTTATGGGACTAAATTATCTGGCAAGTCAGGCTCGTAGGGGGTTGAATTTCAGGAATGCGGCAAATTTGTGCCGGCTTCTTCCTCAGCGCCATCCCGGGGGCCTTGTTATTTTCCCACCCTTCCTTGCGGATCTGAAAGGCAAAAACCCATCGAACCTGGGAGAACACGCAGGGAAAAGAAAACCACGAATAAACACCCGATTCAGGACATCAAAGGGAGCGTAAATGGCAAGCGGGAGGTTTTGGGTCCCTTTTAAACCTGACTCTGCGCCCTGTTCTGTGTGTGGCCTCATCCTGCTGTCGCTGCTCTGGCGAAGCCCGAGTGCAGGACAGCTGATAGCTGCGTGATGAAATGATGGATTATTATTTATTTATTATTATTTATAACAAAAAGGGGGGGAAAAAATGATGCTGGTGTTTGCTGGCGCTGAAGGGCTGCAGCCCGCTCCGGAGACCCCTGGTTTGGGAAGTCGGGCTGGGGGCTTGGGAAAACCAGCTGCATAGGTGGTTGGTGGCACCTTGGTGGCCTTGGGAGATGGCCGGGTTGCTGCCGAGTATTCCCTAGCTGAGGTGATGCCGGGCGGGATTAGCCCAAGGACTTGGGCTCCCCGAAGGGCACGTCCCGTCTCCTTCCCGCTCGCAGGCACTGGCTTGTGGGCAGCCTGGCGGGAAGCGTAACCAGTGCCCCCAAACGCGGGTGTAAATGCAGCTGGTAAATGCAGCTTGACGTAAAGCCTGAATTCGGGGGCTCCTCAAACTTGGCATCTCCTCCTGGCCCCTTGGGATGGGCCTCTCTAACGGCACCTGCTGTAGGCGAAGGCCGAGCTGGTGGCCGCAGGTCGGATGCCTCGCGTGCCTCCCTGTCGCTTGGTTTTCCTTGATTCCTGGAATGAGGGAACATCTCGTTGCGTTTCATTAAAGCCATTAATCTTCTGCTCCGACGCGCCACGCAGTTACACGTGCAGGAGACACCGACAAATATAGGAGCTCCAACAGAGACAGCAGTTTGGGTTAAGCTCCGCGTTGCCTCCGAACCCGCCAGCTCCGCTGGGATGTGCCGCCGTTGAGGCCGCCGCGTGGATGGGCCCGGGAGCATTGGTTGGGTCTCCGGGGCTTCTTTCCAGAGCCCCACGTTGAGCCCTGGGTGCCACTTTGCTCGCCCGGAGCAGGGCCCAAGGGCGGCATTACCGCCTGGGTTACTGCCCGGCAGCGGCGTCAGGGGTCAGTAACTCTCCGTGCAGATGGCCCACGAGATCCCGGTCTACCATTAACCAGAGCCTTAACAGATTACAAGGTGCAGGACGAAACTGGCTTAACCCCCCGTGGAGGTTAAGCCCCCGCCAAGGCTTCCCGTTAGCTCCTGAAATTCCTTGCTGGCAGCCGAGCCTGGGGAAGGTCAGGGAGGGTCAAGGCTCTTCATCCCGCGTCCTCGGCTTCGTTTCCAAAGCCCTGACTAGAAGGAAGTCTTGGCACGTCAGCCCAAGGAACTGATCTCCCCAAGAAACTCCCTCTCCCTCCACATGTATTAAGATTTCAGTTTTTTTTTTTCCTTTTAATAAGCACGTATTGGAAGCGGATGGTTGCAGTCCCTTGTTTAATTCCTTCTGAATTAAACTCAGTGTGAAGACTGAGTGAGCTGGGCCTGTTTAGGCTGGAGAAGAGAAGGTTGAGAGGGGATCTTACCAACAGGTACAAATACCTGAGAGGAGAATGTGGGGAGGAGGGGGCCAAGCTCTTCTCAGTGGTGGCCAGGGATAGGACAAGGGGCAACTGGCACAAGTTGAAACCCAGGCAGATCCGTCTGCATGTGAGGAGGAACTTCTTCCCTGTGAGGGTGACAGAGCCCTGGCACAGGCTGCCCAGGGAGGCTGTGGAGGCTCCTTCTCTGGAGGTCCTCACAACCCACCCGGATGCCGCCCTGTGCCCCGTGCTCTGGGCATCTCTGCTAGGGCAGGGGGTTGGACTAGATGATCTCCAGAGTTCCCTTCCAACCTCAACCATTCCGTGATTCTGTGATTTCTCTGCTTCTAAGATTTCTCCAGGAGTCTCAAAGAGATTTTTTTTTTAAAAAGACTATTTTGGCCTTCTCACTGAGGAGCAACCAGGACCGAACCGTGGAGAACATGCAGCATGAGATGCTGAGCCAAAAATGCAAACAAAACAGTGTGATCCCAACACGAAGGCCAGATCCTCGCTCGGTTAAAAGCTAAATATTGTGTCAGAAGGGACCCTTGGGAGCCAAAGGCAGGAGGAGCTGGCGGGGAGGAATCAGCAACCAAGGCTGGGCCTGTTGGCCTGATCTGGCCCAACTGGGCCTGATCTTATGGCAAGATCAGGGCGAGCGCGACAGCTCCGGGCTGCTTGAACCCTTTTTTCTTGTCTTGTTTACATTGCATTCCAGTAGAGGGAGCTTACATAGAGCAAAGCCCCTGCCCAGCAGCAGGGAACATATACGGTCCATACGTTCCCTGCTCACCCGGCATTGGAGCTGTTCCTCAAGGACTCTCTGCAGTGGCTGTGGAGGACGAAGGCATGGGTGCTTTTACCCTGGCAATCATTTACCCAGGCTCCGCTCTGAGGGTGGAGGGGGGAAGGCGGGTGATGATTGAAGGCTCTTCATGCCCTGTGTGTTGGGTGACACTGGACAGGTCTCCAGCTGCAGTATGTCCCCACGTGGTGGGACACAGGAACATTACGGTGGCAAAAGGAGCCCTGGTAGCTCGGTTTGGAAGCTAAATGCCGTGTCCCCTTCTCCTTCACGCAGCTTTCCTTGCAGTTTGTAGGTCTGGAGAGCTTGTGTTCTGCTTGTTCTTCCTCATCCAGCAGAGAAGACGGACGTGATAGGAACAGCACAAGGTTGTTCTAAGCAACTCCCACAGCAGAAGCCAAACCTGCTGGTCTGATGGGGTTTTTGCAGCTGAGGCAGCTGAGGCTTGGAAAGGACGACCTACCAGGTTCTAGGGGTCCTGGGATCCGTCCCGGTGCTTTCCCATGGGCTCAGGCATCCTGAAAGTGCTTTTCCAGGCTGCTCAGGGCCTGGCTCTGAGGGTGGTGTGTGGCTGCAGCCCAGACGACAGGCCCGGATTGGGAAGCAGCATTGTGCCGGGCTGTGCAGGGCCCCATCCCGCTCACCCGGAGGTCTGGGCACCCTCACGGAGCGGGAGGTTGCCCTGCATGCCCGGGAGGTTGCCCCGCATGCCCGCATGCATGAAGTGATCCCTATCAGGGCCTGGGCTGTGGCCGTGAGGCCTAGATGCAAATGGCCCCTGTTGGAGCCGGTACCTTTTGTTATTTAATAGGTATTTGCCGTAGGTCAGCCAGGGGTTTTGTTACACAAAGCAGGAATGTTTGCACTCCCGAGATCTTCCCGAGATGTGGGAGATATCTTTTATCTGCAGGAGGAGGAGTGAATTGCAGCCCCAGAAGGGGCCTGGTCTGGCAGGGGATGGTGGGTGGGCTGGCAGGGCTGCAGGACGGGACTTTCCGCCAAAAATCCAGGTTTTCTTCCCCCTCCTCCAGCATGGACCAGGGCCCCTGGTCCGACTGACTTCACCCTTGTTGCAGCAACAGGGGCTTTCACACAGAGCTGGAAAAGACCCCGTTCCCGAGTGTCCATGATGCTCCTCGTGGCTTTTAAGCAGGTCGCCTGCGATGGTCTGTTCGAAACAACCAGTTGTATCTGTTCCTGACACCTATTTCCTGCCTTTCCCTAAGCATCCGAGCGTTTCCCCATCCCCTGCTCCTTTCCAAGTGCCTGAAAAGGCGCTTAACTTTTATTTCTGCACGGAAGCGACCGACATTTCCTGTGTGAGGAAGGGCGGACGAAGGCTCCCCCATCCCTGGATGGCAGGAGCAGTCGGAACACATCAAAGGGAGCTGCGAGCAAGGAGGGCATCCCACTTGCCCTCCTTCTTTCCTATCAGAGTTGCCTTTTGATCCTTTGGGTGTGTGTTTGAGCGTAGGCCTGGCCTGGAGGACGCGAGCTGATACTGGAGCTTTGGGGCGCCCCGAGAGAGCGGCTGGGGGGTGAGTGAAGGGTGTGTGAGGGGGCACGTGTGGGGCCACGTGTGGGGCCAGGGCTGCCCTGCCTTGCTCCAGCCCCCTAAGTGAGTGTTTCACCCCAGGGTTTTAGTGCTTTGCAGTATTTGTCTGCTCTGACAACCAGGCGAAGGCGACGGCCTGGCCTGAGGAGGCCTGGCCTGGCCGAGGAGAAGGCGGCTCCCTCGGGACACCGCGAGGTGCAACCACGGAAAGGGGAAGAGAGGACGACTTAAACTGAGCCCCGTTCCAAGCGCTGGCAGAGGAAATAGTTTGGGACTCGCTTCTCTGGCTCCGTGCTTAGTCACTCCAGGATCCCCTGCAGCCACGTCCTGTTGTGCAGATGGGTTAGGAAGCCGCTTCCACCGGAGGATCCTGAGCTGAGAGAAGCTTTCCAGGCTTCTCTGGTGACCCTCCGTGTGGCTGAGCTCAGCTCCCCTTGAACCGTCTGGGCATGACAGTTCAAGGCCAGAACGGCTTCTGCTGGGGTCACTTTAGGGAGAAAAGCCCCCCAAAATGGGCTTCATCCTGCAGGTTTCTTAAGGCGTCTATCTGTCCATTAAATTCCCCTTGAGTTGGAGTTGTCTCTTCTGGGGGGTGTCTTAACGCCGTGTGTGAGGGCTCAGCCACCACCTCAAGGAGCCTCTAGGGAGAAGAGGGGCCACCAAGCCCTGTAGACACAGGTTGTAGGAGAGCAGCAGCTGAGGCTGCCCACGAGTGTGGGCCTGGAGACCTCCCCACAGGGCCCACAGGTGGCCAGCACCAGGCCTATTCACCGTGGGGTTGTCTGCCTTCCTTACGGGTCTGTTCCCAGATGCTGCCCGAGGAGCTGCGTGAACCTTCCCCCTTCTTTTCTAGGTCAGGACACTCTTTGTGAGCGGGCTGCCTCTGGATATCAAGCCTCGGGAACTGTACCTGCTCTTCAGACCCTTTAAGGTACCGGATGAATGTCCTTCCAACGGGGAGAGGTGATCTGGGAACGTCTGTACAGCGGTGGAATGTGGTGGTGACCGTGGAGCACGTGGCACCATCCCAGTGCCAGAATGTGGCCCCTGTCCGCAGACATGAGAGCAGAAGGGGGTGCAGGAGATGCCTGGGAAGCAAGGAGGCCTGGCAAGCAGAGAAGCACGAGGTCTGGGCTGTGTTGTGGGGACCTGGCCCTTGAAAAGGCATCAGAATCCCACCAGCTGCTCCAGGCTGGCCCCAGGTGCTGCGGCAAAACTCTCAGGCTTGTTTCACCCTCACCACAGGATGGGCTGGTGGTCTGGGAACTTAGTGGGATTCGGGAGCCCACTGGCTTCCCAAGGAAACCCCACTTGGGCATTTCATTCAGGGGCCCTGACATGTTTCACTCACTGACACTGGCCCAAACTTGCTCAGGTGCTTGGGGGAGGATAACATCACTCTCCCCGTGGTTGCCCGTGCTGAGCATCATCTCATAAGGGCCTCAGCATCTCCCCTCCGTCTGAGGCCTCGCACAAGCATCTCAGCTGTTCTGTTTTCCTCTTTTCCTGCAGGGATATGAAGGGTCTCTCATAAAGCTCACATCTAAGCAGGTAAGAGCCCGTGAGGAGCGGGTGCGGCAGCCGCCCGCGCCGCGCCGGCGGCTCGGATCCCCGTGCGGCTGCCTGACCCTCCTCGCCTCTCCTCTCCCCTCCGCAGCCCGTGGGCTTCGTCAGCTTCGACAGCCGCTCCGAGGCCGAAGCTGCCAAGAACGCCCTGAACGTAAGTGCGCGGCGCCCGCGGCAGCGCCGGCCCCTGCCCGCCGCCGTGCCCTGTCTCCGGCAACGCTCTCGCCACGGCGCCTCTCTTAGGAGGCTGAAGGAGGCTCCTTTTGCTCCTTCCTGGAGCCCTCCCTCCTTGCTCCTTCCCCGCGCGCCCGCCAGCTGCTCTCCCGGTTTCTCTGGCCCGGGATGTGTATCCTCTGCACCTGCTGGCTTGAATCCGCTCCATTGCTCCGACCGTTTCCTGATCTGCTCCTTCTCATCTGCTATCACTGTAATCTCCACTACTTCCTAACATCCATCCCTCACTCCTGCTTTGTAATGGCTTCTTTTTTGCTGGCCACGTTTTTTTTCACTGTCTTGGCATGTGGTCAAGTCTCCGTCCGGCTTTAAAAAACATTGGGGCGATAGATAAGGCTGTGGCCTCTCTGCTTTCCCGTAGAGCAGGTAGCCCCTGCTTCCTCCTGCTGAGAACTGGGCAACTCTTATCACAGGAGCATGGAGAGATTCCAGGAGGAAGGGAGGGCTTCAGACCCTCCGCTTTTGGAGTGCTCCAGTCCGGCTCCAAGATCTCCAGGGATGGGAAGGCCCAAGGGAAGCTGCTCCTTGTCTCGGGCCCAGTGCCTTCCTGCTGGGGAGCAATCCCACATCCCAAGCAAGCGGAGTGTGTCGTCCAGGCGGGCGACAGGGCACGAGTGTCTGCAGGAGGCTCCGGGAATGGGAATGGCGCCACTGGGGAGTTCTGCTGCGCATGGGGCACAAGCTGGATCCCCACAGGAGCCGGCTGCGTGTGCGGCGCCGGCCCAAGCCAGGGGTGTCCGGGACAGCAAGCGGCTCCCGCAGGGAAAAGAGCGGCTTTTCCCGGCGTGCTGGGAAGCGCAGGTCGCACGGAGCCATCGAAGGTCTCCGCGTTCCTCGGTGCTTCGCACGCGTTGCTTCCTCTCCTGCTCCTATTCGCTTTGCTCTCCTGATAAGAGAGGATGAGGGATTCACACTCTTAAACACCGCAAGGGATTTGACGTCGGAAAGACACATCCTGGGGCCGAGAATGAGGCGTCACGGGCAGATTTATCCCCTGACCCTGCTGCTGTCTGCCCTTGGTCCGATCCCTTGCGTTTGTCGGCTCCCTGTCGTGGCTCGTGCTATACAGGTGCTGGGAGCTGGGTAGAGGGATGGGGCTGGCTGGACAATAACCCCGGCACCTCCTTTGCCGCTTGGAAAACGCAAAACTTTATCTGAAAAAGGGCTTAGGCTCCTTGATATGAGTCAGAGAGTGACTCCTTTCGCAGAGTTTCCTGTTTGTTCGATGGGAAAAATAGCAGCTAAAGCTGCAAAAGCTTTCGGAGAGAGGAAAAAAAGAATGTGTGGGAAAAAAATATCCACCTCGAGAGCCGTGAGCTGCTCACCAGCAACCAGGGTTTGGCACCGTGGGGCTCAGTGTCGGAGCAGAGGATGCCACGGTTTGGTAGCAGGGGCTGGAAAAGCCAGCCTGGGAACGCGCCGCCGCGCAGCCCGTGCCGGAGGTGCCTCGGAAGCAGGTGGGAATTGTAAACGCCTGGAGGAAGCGCGGGGCCACCGCGGGCTTTTGTTTTCGCTCCGGGGCGGAAGAGCAGGGTTCCCTGGAGCTGCTCCTTCCACCTTTGCGGAGCTAAACGGAGGCAGCGGCAGCGGGGAGCGTCACTCCTCCCAGGGAATCGTCTCCGCAGGCTGGGATAGCAGCGGGAAGCCAGCTCGCTAATGCCTTCCCGTGTGCTTTTCCCCCTGCTTGTCTTCATGTTAAATTTAAAATATTTTTGGCTCTGCTAATCCCTCTGGATAAGAGCTTGGCCGAGCGGGATGCCGACTACCAAATATGGTGCTGATCCTAAAGATGTGAGCGGAATGCGCCGTGCTCAGGGCCCGCGGCCGCGGCGCTCGCTGCCAAGCAAATTAGGTCACCGAAACTTTGGAAGTTTGCAGAGATGTTGGGAACGGCATCCAGGAGAAACACTCCGGGGTTATTTTGGGGAGGTGGCGTGGGGGGCTTGTGCCGGAGGAGGGGACAGGCCGAGAAGAGGCCACCGCCTCCCGTTCATCCGGCCCGGATTCCCATTTCCGCACAGCAAAACTCATACCCGGGCTCAGAGAGAACATCGCTCCTTTGCAGAATTCCCGGCGGAATTTCCTGTGTCCCTGGAGGTTCCCTGTTGCTTCTCCCGCCTCCAGAGCTCGGGCACGGCACGAGCCCCGGGGCCCCACATAAGTGTCTGTGCCCCGAGCAGGGACATTTCGCGGCCGGCGCATGTGAAGCTCCCTCTCCGAGGGGAAATATCTTCCCATCCAAAGCAGAAAGGGACAAAAAATGGAAAGGGACAAACTCAGGAAAGCAAAGTCCTTATTAGTGGGTGTTTCATCAGCGGGAAAAGTAAACTCCAGGCTGAGCTCGGGGCCTCAGCCTCGGATGAGTCATGGGAGCGGGTTTGTCAGCTGGATTTGGGGGTGAAGGTGGCACGGGAATGTGAGAGGATGAACGGGGCCGGTGGGAAAGGTGCCGGTGGCTCCGGCTGCTGTGGGGGCTGCGGGTGGCTGAAGGCTCTTCCCATGTGCCAGGGGCCCACGGGACTTTGTGCCGCTGACTGGCCGCACTTCCTTCTCTCCTCCCACCCAGGGCATCCGCTTCGACCCCGAGATTCCGCAGACGCTCCGGCTGGAGTTTGCCAAGGCCAACACCAAGATGGCCAAGAGCAAGCTGGTGGGCACGCCGAACCCCAGCACGCCCCTGCCCAGCGCTGTACCTCAGTTCATCGCCAGGGAGCCCTGTGAGTACCTGGGGCTCCTCCTCCTCCTCCTCCTCCTCCTCTGCCTTGGCATTCCAAGCCATTCCGAGCGTGTGGAAAACCCCAGGCCAATGCACGGACCCGCCAGCGCCGCTGGAATGAGGATGAGGGCCTTGGGGGGAGCTGAGGTGCCTCCAGGAGGTTAAATCTTTCCAGGCTCATCCTGAATGGGGCTGGCCGGGAACGCGAGGGCAGCCGGGAATGCTCCCCTTGGTGCCAGGGAGGCCGTCGCCTGGTCCTGGCTCCCCGCTCCGAGGTGATGGGGACGCGGGAGGGCGTCTGGTGGTCGGGATGGCTGGGGCCAGAGGGAAGCCTGGCCTGGTGACCTGGGGGGTATTGAAAGCTCGGGGTGTCCAACCACACCGAGAGGGCCCCGAGCCCAAGCCCTCGCTGGCCACTGCGGGTGACACTGCAGGGGGGGCTGGTGAAACTTGGCTCGAGTGTTAGGAAAAAGTTGCGAAAAAAAGAAGGCAGAAAAGAAAAAAAAACTCCAACATCCTCGGTGGTTTCCGAGCCTTAGATAGACGGGACCGTGCTGCCCTGATGCCGTGTTGGCAGCAGTCCTGCTGGAGGCAGGAGGCTGGGCCGGAGCCCTGCGCTCCCGCCGCTGCGCTGGGCTCCTCTGTGGGCTTCTCCCCACGGCCCCTGGCCACCGTTTCTATGTGGGTGTCTCCGAAGCCGGAGCGTGCTGCTTGCCCGGGAGCCTGACGTGGGATGTGGGATATGCCGGGTGGGATACGGCTGTGTCAGGGGGGCATATGGCCCCTCCGATCTCCGGAGCTGGGGAGGACCTGCAGCCAGATCAGGAGAAATCCCGAGTGGTGGCAGGGAATCCGCGGCCCTTCCTGGGGTGGCGTGGGCTCCTCACGGATGCCCCCACAGTTCCTAGTGCTGGAGCCAACACCTCGGGACAGTCCAACTCTCCTGCACGCCTGTAGTTTGAGGGATGGTTGTAGCAAGGAAAAGCTGAGGACAGCCCGCAGGGAAGGGTTTCTTCAGGATCACTGCAAGGCACCCGGCAGCCAGCGCCTGCAGCTCCCGCTCCAAGAGATGCTCCCGGGATCCCGAGGGGGATGAGCTCTGGAGGGGAGCTTGGTCATGCTGGGCCTCGCCGAGCCCTTTGGCCCTTTATCTTGCTTCAAGCCAGCAGGGGAAACTTGTGATCCGAAGGGAGCCTCGGCGGCGGCGGCGGCTGGTGGCTCCCTTGGCTCCAGCTCTGCGGGATTGCGGGAGCCCGGGGCACAGGCGGGTGCCACGGGAGCCTCCGTGGGGCGCGTGTGGGTCCCTGGCAGCAGGTCCCTGCTGGGGCTGCCCCACACGGCGGCCCCACTGAGCACAGGCCCTGGGGAGCAGGTCAGGCCTGGAGGTCATCAACTCGCTTTCAAACCAGCCGACGTCGGATTCCCAAATAGAATTAAACCTCTCGGAGCCAAGGAGCCCAATCCGGCGTCCCTGGAAGCGGGAAGCAAGCGTACCTAGGCTCCCGATAGGCCTTGGGAAGTTGAAGGAAAACCGAGCTCTTATGTTTTCCAAGCAGGGGAGTTAAATAACAGCCCTGCGTTCTGAGTCGCTCCGTCCGCTCGCGCTGTTTCTCATTCCCTGCTGCTGACAGCGGCCCCAGACGTGCTGCTTTTTGTGGAGGGGCTCAGGAATGAATCAGGTCCCGAGCATTCGCCGTGAACAGGCCTCGGGAAAGAGCCGCCTGTGGCAGGAACACGAGCCCTGGCACTCACGAGTTGCACGGTTCAGGCAGAAACTCATCCTGATCTCCGCTTCCCTACTGGAAAAACAAAGAATTTGGGATGCTGCTAAATCCCTCGGGGCTGGTGTCCCCTGCAGGCCCTTTAGAAGAAGCTGGGGTCAGTAACCTGAGAGCTCCCAGCAAGGGGGAGACCCCGCGGGTCCCCCAAGGTGCTGCGGCTGCCACTGCCCCGCACCGCAGGGAGCGACGGTCTCCGTCCTGCGCAGGGAGGCTCCGGGGCCTCCCAGCTTCCCGCTCCTGCTCCACGCGGCCCCTGTCTCCGCGGCCGTGCCCAGCCAGCAGGGCCGTCCTCGCTCCTGGTCTCTTGGGGGTCACCGCGGGATCTGGGAGCACGGTGGCGGCTCCGGGCTCGACGGCTCGGGCCGTGCGCGCCGCAGCCATGGGGTGACGTTAACTCTCCTTGTTCTTTTCTTGCAGATGAGCTCACAGTGCCTGCACTTTACCCCAGTAGCCCTGAAGTGTGGGGGCCGTACCCTCTGTACCCAGCGGAGTTAGCACCTGCTCTACCTCCTCCTGCTTTCACGTATCCCGCTTCACTGCATGCCCAGGTAATCGGTACCAATCAGCCACGACTCCGCTCACCCTCTCCGGCCCCCCGGCCCTTGGCCCTGCCCCTCAGTGCTCACCGTACGACTAACCTCTGTCCGGCTAACAGACACTCCTTCCAGAGATTAATGATGTCACCTAAATCAAGCTGACACGGAGTGGGGGGACGAGGCGGGAGCTCGCTGCCTGGCGTCCCCCGGACACCTCTCTCTTCCTTCATGCCTTCACTCCCGTCCGCACTAGGGACCGGGGCCGCCACGGGAGGCGCCGTGGGCAGCTCCTCCGCGTGCGCTGTCTGGCCGTCTGTTTGGCCCGGATTATCCGGAGGGGAGTTTGTGTTGCACACACGGGTGTGTGTGTATGGGGTGGGTCTGGGGAATCGGGTGCCCCGGCCCGAGCTGAGAGGAGCAGGACGTGGGGCGGCTGCGTGTGGACGCGGACAGCCCCACCGCCGTGTTGCTGCTCGGCACAGCCAGGGGCTCTAGCAGCTTCCAAGGAACCTCTGGGATTTGGGGACCTTCCTGCATCGACATGGGGCAGCAGCCCTGCCTGTACAGAGACCAGGTCCCCCCCTGATGTCCCCTGGTGCGCTGGGCTGTGGCGGTGCCACTATCCCTGCCCACCCGCGGAGCGCGGGGGAGCCGGAACAGGGGCGCTGAACCGGGGCCGGGAAGCAGAGCGGCTCTGACAGGCGGAGGAGGCACAAGTGGCTGCAGGGGAGCCCAGAAAGGACAGAGGAGGAGGCTGGAAAACGAGGCGGGATGCGTGCGCCTGGCGCGGGAGCAGGGGTCAGTGCTGTGTCGGTGCGGTGGCCGCGTTGCGTCTCCTTCCTCTTTGCACTTGCTCCGGCTCCTGTGTGGCTTTTAATGGACCTCCCTGGGGCCAGGGGGCTGCATTCCTGGCAGAAGAGCCAGGCACCAGTGCCCTGCTTGGGGGTGGCAGAGAGGAGTGGTTGTCAGGCCCATGTTCTTGCAGAAAGGCAGGTCAAGGCGTCCACCTAAGCTTACATGTTAACACGCTCATGCAAAACGGTTCCTCTTCATCCTGGGGGCCAAATTGTGACTCCTCGGGGGGCCCCTTGGAGAGGATCCCACGCCAGCTGCTCGAGGCGATCCCTTGGGCCAGTGCCGTGTGTGTGTCCCTCACCCCGAGGGCTTGGGGGGCTCCAGACCTACTCAACCCCATGCGCTGCCTGGCATGAGACACGTTTTGTCCACATTGAAGCACAGGCCGCGAGGTTTTCCTTCTCCCAGGACTCTGATAGCTGCTCAAGGCTTCTCAGAGGAAGATGGAAAGATAGGAAGGAAGGATGGTGGGAAGGTGGAAGGAAGCTGGTGCCTCCGACATCTCCACGTGGAGCCATGACTTGCCGACACCCGGAAGGGTCTCCGCACCGCGCAGTATTTTTACCGTCTCTCGGCAAAGCTTGCGCAGGGGAGCGGGTAAAACCCGCGGGCGATCGCGTCCCTTTGTGGCTGTGCTGTCCGGAGAGCAGCCGGCCTTGCAGCTCCTTAGGGAGCAGCTCCCCCTCCCCAGGGAGCCCGCGGGGAGCAGCCAGGAGGTGGCTCCGGAGCACGGAGCTCTTTCCAGAGCCGGGCCCATGAGGTCCTGCCACTCACAGTGCTGCTGAAACCCCCAGTTTTGCCCCTCTGGATCAGCCCCGTTTGGCCACGAGGAGCTGGAGGAAAGGAGCAAGTGGAAGCAGCTCTGCCGGGTGGGCCCTGCCGCATCCCGCAGCCCTGCGGAGGTCGGCAGCGGGAGCGGCCTTCCCGGTTTGCTTCCTGCCGGCGCTGGAGTGCGGTCCTTCCCGGGAGCTGCATGTGGGAAGCCTGGACTGCGGCCCTCCCTTGGGCTCTGGAGAAACGAGCTTCTCCACGCAGGCAGGGAGCGGAGGGAGTGGGAGCGCTGGCGCCACGGCTAGAATTGAGGGAAGTGCCTTGGCTTGGGAACGGTCTCCAGCGCTGGGACAGAACCGCGGCTCTGCAGGCCCCGCTGTTGGTAGGAAGAGCGCTGGTAAATATTAGTGCGGACGCATTCCTGCCTTGTCAAGCAGCTGTTAACAGCCGGCACCTGCGCCCGTTCGGAGGCGCAGGGAACGGCTGGAATCGCTTCCGTGCCGCAAGGAAGCAGCTGGTGGCCAGGGGCTGCTTTTGGGCGACTGAGGGCACGTTCTGCTCCGAGGGCTGTGTTGGGGGGCACCTTCAATCCAGAAGCTCCTCCCTCGGTGGCTGCCCCTAAGCCGTGGGGCAGAGTTGCCGGGTGCAGTTCCAGCTCGCCGTCTCCCTCAGCCCACGGGGTCTGACCCAGGGTGAAGCCCCCCAGGTCGGGCCCTGTGGAGAGGCCTCCGGTGTCCGGGCCCGTGGCTCTGCTGCGAGGAGCTGCAGTGAAGCCCGTGGCACAGAGCGGTGCCCAGCGAATGGCCGAGGCAGTTCGTGGTACAAATGTGCCTTGCTGGAGGATCTCGGAGCCAGGGCAGCCGCTGGCTGCTCGTGGCCTTCAAGGAAAAACCCCATGGCCAAACACCCTCGTCCCGCTGCAGGGAATGCCCTGGGAAACTGCTGCTGGTGCCTGCTCATTCCCAAGCGGCAGCAGAGCTTTTCCAAAGTGCTTCTGGGCACAATTCCCGCGTTTCTCGCCGGCGCTGGCATAGCGGGGAAGAGCAGCTCTGGATCAGTGTAGGATACCAGCCATATCTCCACCCAGAAGGGCCGTTTGCAGACGTGTTGTTGTTGTTATCCCCACACTGTGGCATGTGCTGCGTGCGGGCAGAGGGAGCGGAGGGCACCGACAGGGCGCTGAGGTCCTCGTGGGTGCCACCACCTCCCTGCTGGGGCCAGGCCCTGCTGCTCCCCAGGAGGACCCTCTGAGCCATGGGAGTTTCTCCCCATGCAGCTTGTGCCTGGTCCCGTCACTGAGTATCCTGCAAGTGCCGTTAGGGGGTGGTGGGCACGGGGTGGGCTAGGTGGGAAGCTCCTTCTGGCACCTTCGTGGTGTCACCCCGTTTGCTGCTGCTTCAGAACAGGCCGGTCAGTCGCAGGCTGCCCAGTTCACTGCACGGCTCCGGATGAGCAGCATGTCCAGCCTGGCGCCAAGGGGGCGGCTGTGGGCAGGGGGGCAGCGGGTCCGTGTCCCCGTGCAGGTCTCCGCTCTCGCTGCTCCTCCTGCCCATCCTGCACCGCTTCCCGAGCAGCCGGGGCCTCCTCGGCCTGCCCGAGCCCCTGTAGCTGTGGGAAGAGGCTCCGGCAGGGCACTGAAGCAGCCAAGCGGCTGCAGGTGCCTCCGTGGGCCGCCCTGGGAAGCAGGAACGGCGGGAGCTGCAGGCGGGATCGGGTGGGAACAACGGGAGCTGTAGACTGGCTCGGGTGGCCGTCCCTTTGCAGGCGAGTGGCGCGGGGGCTCACGGTGCCTTCGGGCAGCGGCTCTGTCGGGAGCTGTTGGGCTGTGCTTGAGGAGGGAGGGGGTTTTGGCGAGCATCCATTTGCCCCGTTTGGTGGTCGCTGTCCCTGCTGGGTCCCCTGTGAGACCCTCCAGGCTCCTCTCGGCTCCCGCCGCCTGCTCCGCTGGCTCCGGCAGCGACGGGAGGAAGAGACGTCGGGCCCGGGGCTGCGCTGCTGGGGACACGGCCGGGCGCTGGGGACGGCGGCCTGGGCCAACCACAGCTGGAAGCGATGTCCCTGCCCCCAGCTTGTGTCCCCAGCGCTTGTCTCCCACTGGGAGACACGGAAGAGGGCGGGCGGCAGGGCCAGGAGGGCAGATGGGAGCCTGGAGCCGGGTCTCCAGCGGCGCCGGGCCCCGCTCTCACCGCTGCCGCTCTTGCCTTTCCAGATGCGCTGGCTCCCTCCCTCCGAGGCTGCTTCTCAGGGCTGGAAGTCCCGTCAGTTCTGCTGAATGCCGTGTAAGTGGGTGCCCGCGGGCGCCTCGTGCCCGGGGCCTCGTGCCCGGGGGGGGGTCCCAGCACAGCAGGGGGCTGATGGTGGCCGGGGGAGCCAGAGCCCGGCTGGATTGGGGTCGGTGACAGGACTGGGGCCTTCAGAGGCCCGTGGTGCTGTCCTGGATGTCTCCAATGGGTCCCGGCTTCGTGAAAAGCCTGACGTGGCCTTTCAAATGAGGAGCGGGGCACAGGGAGCCAGGGTGCTGGTTTGGGACCTCCTGGCGTGGAAAAAGTCTCGAAAGGGACGTTAGAAAGACCAGTTCTGCAACTAGCTCACCCTTTAGCGGGTAAATAAACAACGGGGATTAAACGGGACGAGGGAACAGGCTCGGCTGACACACGGGACCCCAGAGCGCCCCAACTATTGCAGGCATCAGCCCCAGAGCCGGGAGAGCCCGGAGCCGTGGGGAGGGCCCGGCGTCCGCCCCTGGCCAGGGCACCGAGCCCTCCCAAACTGTGTATGCAAATCCCTTGCCAGCTATTTTAGGCCCGGTGGATAAAAATAGGAAGCGGCGAGGCTTTGGGAACTGGTGGTTCTTCCAAAACCCGGAGCGTGCCAGCGTTCCCAGCGCGAACGCAGGCAGAGCCGTATTTGGGAGCGGGCTCCTGCAAGGGGCTTGGAGCCACAACGCGGGGCTGCCCGGGCGGCAGGGGGACCCGCGCTGGCCCTGGCCCCGCTGGGCTGCAGTGGGGACCCCGATGGCGAGGTGGGGACGTCCCCGTTGGGCTCCTCGGCCCCGAAAGCTGCCACGTGGGAGGGAGGCTTTGGCCTCGCTGGGGGCTGCAGGCGCCCGGGGGGCAGCGCCGCGTTGCGTGCCCGGGGGTCCCTAACCCTCGCCACGTGCTCTCGCAGGTGCCAGGTGTGTGATGGTGGCCTCCCGTCAGTCTTGTGGGTATTAACGGAGTCTCCCGAGGTGGCTGCCGGGTTCGGGAGCTCTCCGCAGAGCCGCAGCGCGCTGGTAAGGCCGCCACGAGCCCCGCGGCGGGCTGAGGGGGCTGCTCTGTGCCCCGATCCCCGGAGCAGGTGCCAAGGGGCTGGGATGGGGACGCAAGCGGGGGGTGTCCCCAAGGAAGCTGGACGCTGTCCTGGCGCCCGTTGGGAGCGGGCAGGGGGCGGAGGAGGCAGCAGGGGGGAGGAAGGGGGCTCTTCCCCGCAGGGGCTGCCCCACGGGGCGGCTGCGACGTCCCCAGGGCCCCGGCGCTGCATTTCCTGCCCTTATCGCGCGGATCTGCAGGGGTTTCGACAGCCCTGGAATGTCCCTCCGCTTTAAATTACCCGCCCGTAATCTCATCTCGCTGCCATTCCCGCTTCCTGCCTTGGCTCAGCGGAGCCCAAATTCCTCTCTAAGTCCAGTTTAACTCCCAACTCCCCAGCTGGTACCAGCTCAGCTGAAAACCCAGGGGCCTGCCCAGCTCCTAAGCGGGGCGGCAGAAACCCGTGCTTTTCCACAGCGGGAATTCAAGGTCCAGAGTGACTATTTATGTCTTGGAAAGGAAATCTGGGAGCCGCAAAGGTCCCCACGCTCAGGAAGGACACAGGGGCAGTGCCCTGATGTTTGCATGCCCCAAAACACCCAACTGTCCGGGGCACATAGGAGCCACGGGCCCCCTTTCACCATTGCCTCGGAGCAGCCCCCCCAGCTGCTCTTTAACCTGCTTCTGCCTCTTGTTACAGGCTTGAGAAAACCCTCACGCAGGTTCGGATTCCTCCAAGACTTTCCCGCAGCCTCTATCACACATCTGCTCTCCTAGGAGAAAATGAAAAGCATACTTCGTAATAATATTTTCTTCTTTTACACTGTATATTTGTAAGAAAGAGCGTGTTACTTCTGAAAGCACCGTTTGACAGGCATTGCTGTAGCGTTTGAAAAGTATTTTCAAACAGGAGCATAGGAAAGCAGACTACAAACGCACCGCGAGAGAGCAGGTATTTTTGTACGAAACCTCTTAAATAGGACACTCCGGCGCCGGGCCGGGCCGCGGGTTCTGTGCTTGCCTTGGCGCCGCGTGCGCCGGAGAGGCTCCCGCGCCCCCAGCTGCGAGTCATGGGCAGCACCTCGGAGCCCGGCCCGAGTGCGAAGCCACGTGGCGACACGTCTGCCTCCGCGTGCAGCCGCGCGGGTCTGTACCCCGCTTGTGCCAAACGACGCCGGGCGGGACAGTCGGCACCCAACGACGCCGGGCGGGACAGTCGGCACCCTGCGCTGCCTCCTTCTTGACCGTGCAAAGCCCTGGCCTGGTGCAGCTGATACATCCCCCCGGTCAGGGGCGGGCGCCCGCGCGCAGCACGGGGAGATGCTGCCTCCGTCCCTCGCCGGCACCGCGTGGGGTTGTTCCTGGCGCCGCTGGACGGGAGGAGCCGCACGCGGAGCCTCTGCCCGCGTTCTCCTGTCTCCACGTGCGGCCAAGGAGCAGAAGGGAGGCCCGCGGCCCCTCCGCGGCGGGGCCCGTTGCGTTTACAGGGACAGCGTGCGAGCGGGAGGCCGCGCCAAGCAGCGCAGCGCCTCGGCCCTCTTGTTCCAGGAGGCATTTCGAATGATAACTAATCAAGCAAAAAGCCCAAAGGGACTTTAGTTTCTTGAAAAGCGGGAGCGAAACTCTCCTCCTTCAGTATCCCAGCCCTTGCCTGCAGGGAGAGAGGGGCTGCAGGGCGCGCTGAGCTCGGCTGCCGCTCGGTGCTCGAAGCGGGTGCCTGGGTCTCACCCTGGTTGGCTTCACGGCTGCACCGAAGACACAGGGTGGCCAAGGCTCTGCTAAATGTCATGGACTTTTTTTTTTTCTTCCTTCTTTTTTTTCCGTTTTCCTTTTTTTTTGCGGGGGAGCCCAAAACGCAGCCGCGGAGAAGTTCTGGCTTCCCGAGCTTTGACGGCGTGGTGAGAAAGACGGGTGAAAAGGAAACGGTCTCGTTTGGGTTTTCTGCATGGAAAAGCAGAATGGATCAAGGTGATTTGAGAACAAATCGGCTCCAGGACAAACGACCAAGCGGATCTGAAAGGAGCGACACCAGCCTTTCTAAGTGAGGGACTAACTCCTTGAGCAGACCGTTTCCTGTATTTTGCTTTGTGGAGAAGAGAGGAAAGAGGCTTCCACATTGTCTACTCCGCTTTTGGAAATACGTTTAAAGGTACTTTTCTATTGTAATTTTTTTAAAAAAATAAAGCCAGTGATCATTGTAAGTTATGGCCGGCGTGCCGCGTGCTGCGTGGCTGCGGAGGGCCTTTAAAGCCGCGGAGCCTTGCGCTCTGGGAAGGAGTGTGGGCGCTTAAATGACACCCAGAGCAGTTTCATCGCCAGTCTGTGCTTCCGATGAGCCGTCCTCCACTATGAGACACCAGCCCGAGAGGATGCCGGGTCAAGTCTCAGGGCAGGAAGCAGCAGCTCAGGTTTCCTTTGCCTTGAAGGCGAGCGCAGCGCAGGGACGAGGATCCGTGAGGATCCCAAAGACCCCGTGGGGCCCCAGGGACCTGCAGCTCAGCACCCTTCCCTCTTCCTCGGGGGTGAAGGCAGCACCTCCAGTAGAGGCAGGAGGTTTCCAGGGCCGCTGCCCTCCGCGAGATTGCTTAGATCTTCAGGAGAGCTCCCACATCCAGGCTGGAGGAGAGCAGCAGCCTTTAAGGAAACATCTCGGAGCGGGCACAGATGTTATCAGGTCGTTTTCAAGCTCGCGAATCTTGGCGCAGAAGAGCACAGAAGCGAGGCTGCAATTTTCCATGAGCTCAGCTGGCCGAGAGGCAGGCGCAGCGCGGACACCAAGGGCCGGACGCTGTTGTTCAGACCCGCCACGAATTCTTCCAAAAAGCTCCCTCCGAGTTGGTGCTCTGCGCTCCCCACCAAGCACATCCAGCTTCTCCAGCAGCCTCAGGCTCCCTCCCGACGGGAGGGACTAGGCGCCAGGTCCAGCTTAGCCAAAGCAGCCTGGGGAGGCGCGTTGGCAGGACCCCGCCACGCGCTGCGAGGCTCGCGGCAGGCACCGCGTGGCCGGGAAGCGCCGGCTTAGCCGCAGAGCTAAGCCCTTAATGCGGCTGCTAAGCCCCAGCGGCCACCGCAAGCCACGGATCTCGCTGGGAGCCGCCTCCGGAGAGGGGCTTGCTGGCAGGCCCGGGGCGGGAGGGCAGGATGCCGGGAAAACCCTCCTGCTGCTCAGGAAACCCCGGAATGAGCAGCCCGTGCTCGCGTCCCACCGGACTTTGCCTGGGCACGAGCAGCCGCGTGGCCGAATCTGCAGGGCCCTGCTGAAAACAGGTAACGTCTCCAACCAAATATTATTATTGTTTCCTCTATAAATCAAAATGTTTTCGGCTCTCTCCTGCTTCCCGTTACCACAGCCGGTCTGCCAGCCATTAGTGTCCCCGGGACGTCCCTTCCCCGTTAGCACAGGCCGCTCGCAGGGAGCCCGGAGCCGCCGGGGGGCTCCCGGACCGACCCCTGGCGCCCGCGCGGGGCCCTCGGCCGAGCCAGGAAACATCCGGCTCCCCGGGTTTCGGAAACACGGGGAAGTTGAGCGGGAGCAGAGCCCGCGCCTCATCGCCGCGGTCCCTGACATGAGGAGATGGCTCCTGAGGGAGGAAAGACAGAGGAACGGAGGGGCGCAGGGGAGCCTCACACAGGTACTTTGTGCCTTGGGGGCAAGGCCAGCAGTGCAAGGTCAGTCAGGAACCAAAGGAAGGAAGGAAAAGCTCCTGCCTTTCCCCCTGCTGTGCCTGCACTCTGCAGCTGGGGTTTGGTCTAAGCGATGCTTAAAACACCCAAGGATGGAGTTGCCCCCGTTTCTGTTTTCCGTAACAAGCCACACTTCCCACGCTGACCGCTGCAGCTCCTGCTGCCTCCACCACTCAGGGCTCGGCAACCCCTCTTCCTCACGGGCCCTGGCGGGGTCCAACCCTGCCCTTCCCTGCTGGCCCCACATCCCTTTGAATTCCCCTGACTTTCCAACCCCACACAGCCCCCTGCAAGGACACAGTGGGAGCTGAGGCCTGCGGAGGCTCCCCGTGGTGTTTGCCAGCCCTTCTCCTCACGGGCGGCTGCTCAGCCCCGGGGGCTCCTTCCCAGGTATTGGCACAGGAGGGAAGCGGGCGGTGACTGGAAAGCCGGCAGCGCAGCCGGGAGCACCGAGCTGCCGGGGCCTGGAAGCGCTGTGTGCGGATCCCGCGCCTCCCGGTGCCGCCAGCTGCGCTCATCCGAAGTGCCAGCGCCGCCGGCCGGCCGCTCGCCCCCGCGCCCTCTGGAAGCCTTGGCTGCTCAGGATGGATTATAGATTAGCTCCCGTACAAACTGCCTCACGTCAGTTTTGCCATTCGGCCGTGTGAAATCCTGCTGCTTTCCATGCTCCTTCCAGAAGGATCGCTGTAAAAGCAGCGGAATAAACCTTCAGTGGGGGCAGCTTGTAGGGGGGAAGCCACGGGAGCTGAATGGTTAGGGGTTCGACAGCCCAGGGCTATGAAGGGGGGCACTTAGCCCCTTCTAAGTGCTAAGGGGAAAGAAAGGCTGCAGTGAGAGCCCTGCTGGGAGGGACACGCGGAGCGGAGGTGCTGAGGAACATCCTCGCTCCCGGAACGGGCCGAGGAGCCTCGGGAAGGAGGAAGAGACAAGTCAGCACCTGGTGGGGCCCTGCACAGCGCCGGGGTCACCCAGGAGCCTTCCTGAAGCGCAGGATGTGAAGGGAGCTCTTCATCACGGGCAGCCTGGGGCCCTTTATCGGCCCCATTAGGCATGGGTCCTGTGCAGGGGAGGAAGAGAAAAATGCAACAGCAGGCCCGTGGCCCTCCAGAGAGCAGAGATGCCTTTCAGCAGCCGCTTGCACCGTCAGACTGAGGGAAATGAGGGCTTGGCTGAAGAAAGCAAGCAGAATTCGTCATGGTTTGGGGCACGCAAGGACACCCAGGGGGCGGAGGAAGGAGGTTTAAGGTTTTAACAGCTGTAAACTCTGAGGCTGAACTTCAGCAAAAGGCCTAATTTGGACGTTCTGCTGTGAGGAGACTGCAGCGATACTAACCCGATGTCGGCAACCAGCCTTAGGTGGATGCAGCCTGAGACATTTTCAAGCAGCACATTTTGGTTTTGTGGGGGGAAAAAGACCCCAAACCCCAGAACTTCCTGGGATCACCTTTGAGAGATGAAATCCAACCCCTCAAACCACCGCAGCAGAGAAGGGCTCCTCCTTCTGCCTTGTTGTCTTCATAACTGCCCCTTCCTCTCTGCTGTATCCCCTCCAAAGGGCCAACGGGAGCCTCCATCCGCTGTTTCCAAGCTTTGCTTAGGCCCCCTGAGAAGTCACGGGCGTTACTGGCACCCTTAGCAGTCACAGCAGTTATTGGCACTCTCTGGTGGCGTCACAGAAGACAACGGGGCTCCTCTTTGCTCCTTAGTGGCAACGCCAAAGCCTTGCCCTGCCCCTACAATACAGAGCACTGCTGGATAAATCCTCATTTCCTACTCCAGTGCTTTGTCCTATCCTAAGTTTCCTCTGCAGAAGGGGCCAGGGACATTGTCTTTGGTGTCCTTTTTACCTTAATCACCTCGGCTGTGAGGCAGAGCAGGTGGCCCTGCCCTATAGTCCGTCCCGCGGGCTTTGCTTTGTAGAGCAGAAAGGGTGATGCTGTGTGGGGAAGCTGCACTTAAGGCATGAAAGGCTCGCGCAGCAAGGAAAGTAGCACAGTGCCCACTAAGAGCTCTGCCTTGGAGCAAAGCAACTGTTCATCACCACAAAAAACGCTGCTCAAAAATGCTGAAGATGGGAGCGAACCTTTGATCTTGAGCGAAGGTCTTCACTAAATCCAGGAGTCGGGACCAGTCTCCCCTCTGTGTGCCTCTTAGCGGGGGGCTTATAGCAGAGCTGCCACGGCAAAAGAGAAAGCACCAAGGGAAAAGAGCTTATGCTGACCAAAGAACAACTTCAAAGCCTCCTGCTCTGTGCTTCTGCATACAAAGGGATGCATACATGTGCACACACGTGGCTATAAGCACCCTGACACAACTCATCAGCTCACGTGGCTCAGAGGGGGCAGCCTCTGCGCTTCAGTGCCTGCCTTG